CATAAATAACATACTAATATAATAATAATAATAATAATAATAATAATAATAATAATAATATAATTTTGGAAGTGTTTACAGGCTATTTCAGCCTACAAATTCAATTCACCTATCTGGGTAGTAGACTCACAAAGGATAAAGTATTTTTTATGTCAGCACATTTAGTATAAAAAGCTATGTACTGTGTTTTGAAAAAAAGTAATTTTAAAGCAAGATAGTTTTTTAATTATGTGCTTCCAGTCTTTTCCTCTCCTTTTCTCTTTTGTTAATTTAAATTAATTTTATACAAGCGTCAAATTATAAGGGCTTTTCCTTTTTAACTAAAGTAAAGAGAGGCATACCCCAAAATCATATTTTGTCTAGAGATTGCCATTGTCTTAAAGCAGCCTCATACTTTATAATGACTTTGTTAACAGGGTGAGCAACTAACAACAATTGCCAGCATGAATAGCACTATTGCTCAAAAAGCAAAATCTTAAAACACATGTGCCTCATATTACCACCTTAGTTTTTAAATCTGTGACATGAAGTTTATGACTCAGAGACACATTTCAGAAGACAAATTGGTTTGTGTGTAGGGTTGGGATAGAGCATACACAGGGAGAAGGACCAGGTGCGTACATATCAGCAACACTGTCAAAGCCGCCTGAGACCACTCAAACCCTGGAGGAGAAACCAGAGCCTCCTGCAGCTGAATCTGACAGTGATTCATCAAGTTAAGATATAAGGTATGCAGGTGAATGGTCTATTATGGAGTTCAGAATTGAAATATATGTGTATGAATCATGATATGACATCATTTTTGTCGTTAAACCTTTGCATGCCATTAGGCAATAGATCAGCTCAGTACAGTTGCCTTTAAGACTGCACAGGTGAAGGGACCAACTCAGTGCTAATCATTTAGTAGAGCATGTCTGTCAATAGATGGTATCAAATGTTATCTACTGATAATTAGTGGAAAGAACATGCATTCATGTTATCTATATCAGTGGTTGTTTATAAGTAGTCTCTCACAGTATTCAGGGGTTTTGTGTGCAATGGCAATCACCCCAAAGCACTGTGGCATTTATGGGCTTGGCAGACAAAGGATTAATACTACCCCTACACTTTTAAAAGTGGAATTGAATCACAAACAGCCCACAGAAGCATACATGTAAACTTAAAGAATCTGATGCTTTCATCTGAAACAGAAAGGTTAGAAATTAAACAAGCTATAATTAATGTATTATTGACATAACAGCGTAAAATAAGTACCACAGCAGAGCTCCAGTCCCCACTAAAGAAAGACACCATGGTGCCGGCATGAACCACTGTGGCTCACTTACAGCTCCATAGGTATGTAATATATCGTAATTATAATAGTGATCCCAGTTTTTGCACCTGATTGCTACAGCACTATAGTGCCTGGAACCAAACAACAGCTGCTATGGTTGGCCATATTACTTGTTAAAAATAATACTTCTGGAGATGACTCTGCTCTTCCCTTGAAGTGATTATATTGACAGATATTTTTATTCAGTTGTCACATATAGTAGACATTTTCCAGCATCTAATTTTTTGTTAAACAAAACACAAGGATAAAGTGACAAGGATGTGAAACTAGCCACTCACCTCCATCTAGTGCAAAGTTCAGAATAATGGAGTTTTCCTTCCACTTGTCCATACATATTCACAGAATGGTGCTTAATTAAGAACTTTATTACCTTTAACTTTGTTTACTATACAGGCTTACTCTGCCACACATGTTATGCAGTTCTGCAATGTAAACTTCTTTTCAGGTCTCAGAAGTTGATAACTGCAGGCATCAGTGTCCTTCCTGAATGGACCAAACTAACTCTACATGATGACTGTAAGAGCTTGAGCTTACCGTGTCAAATACTCTTCAACAAACGGACAATACAACCTTTAGGTTAGGTATTCTATTAGCACTAGTTATTTGAAACAGTTATGTAAATGTGTTTTATTGAAAACATAAGTAACTTGTTGGATTTGAGTTCCTCAAAGCAGTGACTATGAAGAACACTGTCTTTCGGGAAGTGACAGTGTAGTCTGGTAGAATTTCACCAACTTTTAAGAAGGATGTACCGCTTCCATCTTCAGGACTAAGTGAAAGCCAGGCAAGCAACCAGCAAGCATACTAAATAGTATGCCTGCTGCTTGTTTCATTCCAGTTACTTGCTTGGCTTCCCTTTTACCCAGATGATGAAGGCAATCCTCAGAAAAGTCAGTGAACATCTACTGGATTACATGGTGTCACATCCCAGTAAATAGTACTCTTAAGTAACTGTTATTTTCAGTTTTACGCCATTTTTGGATGTAACTGCCACTGTTCACATACTGGTGTGTGACTGAGTTGTTTGATGCATGTCCTTTGAATGTTGAATGTGTGTTTACTTGGAAGAAACTGTTGCTTTTACCATTCCAAACAGTGTAGCTAACACTAAGGAAGCCACTTTCCCTTGACGTAAATAAAGATTAAATCCAAGATTTGTGGTCCTTGCAGTAGTGTTTATGGAAATTACTGTCTTCTGGGTTAGAATGTCATGTAGGCTGGTAGAGTGTTACTCGTGGTTCAGAGAAACAAGCTACTTGCATCTTCCTGGTACCCTGAAGATAGAGCAAAATATCACATCTGTTAAAATTAAAATAAAATCTTGGGAAATATAAGGTTACCTAGTTGGCAACACTGATTCTGATGGAAGCATGTTGTAATTCGATTTCTTACGTAAATATAGAGCTGGTCCTATAGAAAATTAGAATAATAGTCAGTTGCTCTAATGCAGACTGAAAGATATATGAGAAATATTTAGCTAAGTAGACAAATACGTGTGAACTGAGGCGTAAGTAATATTTATTTTTTAGATGGCAAGTAAGAGGCCGGCCTGCATTCCTTTATATTCCCTGTGGCTTGCTCATAACCTGTTCACATAACATGATAATGTCTTATGGCATTCATCATATTGTAATGGAAGCTGTTGCTTCAACATGTACACTGAATTTTTGACATTAGATACACTGAAAGCTCTGGTACTCATTTTATTTGTATAAACTCAAAAATCAGATTTTTATCTGATGTGCAAGTGTACACACACTTTCACATCACTTGTTGACAAGTTCCTTTTCAAATTAAAAACAGTAGAAGAGGTGTGGAGTCAGCAGTTGCAACGAACAGTTAAAAGTTTCTTGGAATTTATGATACAATTAGACCATCTTCATTATCACCATTATATTGTCGAGTTGGGTCATTAAAGCCTATTCCTATGAATTCAAAGATGACTTTGGTCTCTCCATGGTGATTTTGGTCATCCTTAGCAGAGGTAAAAAACTAATCCTTCTGCATTAATGGAATTAGAATTCCTGTATTGTATTGGTGTGTCTTACCTGTAAATTATGCCTTCACCCTAAACACATGCTTGATGTATTACGCTATCATTTGAACAATTATGTCATAAAAATATTACCAGTAACAGGGCATCCATGAGAAAACAAAAAGTTTAGAAATTAACAAGCTTGCCATATCACTTACAGTTGCTCTACAATGTATATACCTAACATGCATATAACTGTACAGAAAGAACAAAAATTATGAAAATACATTCAAAATGTAAATAAATGAACATATAGAAGATTGAATGTATTTACAGCAGTAAATATTTCGACTGTGGTCTTTTAGGTTTAGTCATCATACAGATCTCTTTGTCCTGATGGTGGAAGCAAGAAGTTCCTCTGAAGAGTTGGCAAGCATATATGAGATTAGATTATCATCTAAAAATTGTAAACACTCGGTGTATAAATATAAGTATCTAAGAAATGTTATATAAATCTTAGTGTACACATTTTTTTGACCATTTAAGAAGATAAAAATGTTTAGAAACTTTTAATATGTAATTTGCAGAAACCAAACCTGTAAGTGCAATATTTGAGGTTATCATGGTAGTGGCTATGAAGATCAGTCTGCTTGGATATGAGAGTATGTAGGATGGCAGAAGTGTACACATATTTTGGAGGAACCTTCTGCCTCCATCTTCAGGCTAGAAAAATAAACTGAGCAAGGAAAATATATGCAGATATAGTGAGAAGGAGGAGTTGTCCTGGTCTTTCCTCTTTCTACCATATTTTCCATGCTCCTCTTGGTCTTATTCCATGATGATGGAGACAGTGGGTTTCTCCAAAATTTTGGTAATGATCTGCCAGACCGTACAGCATCACATTCCCGAAGAGAGTAATCTAGAACCTAACTGGGCAAACAATCCTAAGCCTGACAAAAGCAGAATTTGAACCTTAGCTCAGAAACTTGATCTTGTGGCCTCTTTCATCCAACAAATATTGGGAGTTTGTACATATTATCACAAGCACATAAAATGTATATTGACATGAAGCTTCTGTATAGGTAGACGGCCCCACAGCTGTTGAACATGCTGCTTAAGAAAAATGTCATTTAGCAGTAGTGTAAAATAGAAACATTATGACTGTCAGAAACTTAGCCATATACTTCTTCTATGTTCTTGGTTCCATAATACAGAAGAATCCACATGGACCATATTTCTTTGGAAGGTAAAGGAGCATTGATCTGAAAGATAAAGCGAGAATGAAATTTGATTTAATATACAAAAATATTTGATATGCCAGAATAATGTATCTGTGTTCATACTTACTTACAGCATGTCCTTTTATCTTTTCCTGATATGAATTGAAACATTATTCCTCAGAAGTAAGGAATACAGATTTCACTGAATTGTACAGTTTAAATTGGATCTGGAAAATGACACATTTAGTAGGTATGAACATGTAGAAGCACGTAAGTTCTGAAGTCTACATTGCATTGATCATATTGTGATCTGAGGTGTGACACAGTATAGCTATGTAGGTGAATACCAATTTATGAAGAACTTTTAAGGTAAAGGAAGTATGTCCCTCCAAAATGTTGACATTCACCTATAAGCTGCATGGTATCATAAAGCCAAAAGATCACAATATGAATGGAGAATATTCTTTTAATACATTTTTCTGTCAGTCCTGATCTAGTATGGAAAACTATTTCAATTCATTGATATTCTGAATATTATGTGAAGGCTGTGAAAACTTTAAGCTCCCTGTGAGGGGCTGCATATTGAAAATTTGCCCATTTTGCTTCCATATGCTTCAAGAGATTGCTTCCAAATTTTAAACAGATGGAAATCAATTTATAATTTTATTATTAAGGCTAAAAATTCTGTCTTGGTATTTTTCACTGACATATGGCCATACTCTTTTAACAGCTAGAGCTTATTCATTTGGAATGGAGGCCATTTGGATATATGAGAAGTCTCACTGGATGAAAGCCAGAATGACTTAGTTATTATAAATATTATATGTATTATCCTCCGATAAGTAGGGAAGGTAATTACCAAGGCCCACCTGCATGTATTTATCAAATTGAAAACATCACCATGATTTTTCAGTGATGAACATCATTGCAATTGTTACACTGCAGCTCAGTCTGTCTCTTAAAGAGCAATAAAATGGTCAAAGTCCACCCACCATTTGGCTTAACTTTTCTTCATTGGAGGATAGTAGTATAACTACATAGAACTGGGTTGTTCATATTAAGCATTTGTTTTTAAATCTTGGATTTAATTTTAGTGAGATATAGGTATGTTTTTTTTTTTTTAAGACAAATCCAAATAGAATGCTAGTGCAACAAATAAGTCTCCTGCTGTACACATGCTGTACTTACTGGCTGTGACATGTACTCAAAGACCCAAATTATTTATTTATTAAAGATCTACATTCATGTCTTTTTAGTCATATCTTAAAACAGTGAAGCCAAGTGAATCTAATCATTAGAACAGTGTACAGAGTATTTATTTCTTATAGATTTGTATATAAATTAATTAAAGTCAAACTACAATTGTGGGCTGAGATGCTCTAGATGATATTTTTATAGCAACCAAAGGAGGTGTGAGATATGAGGTTCTCATGGCAATGAGGATTAAGATTGCAGTCTTCTGAGGTGTGATACTGTTGTGGGATGTCAATGTTCACTGAGAAAACCACTTGAAACTCTAACAACAAATGCTTATTGCTCTTAGAACGGGTATTACAGATGAGCGGGGAACGTGTCTGAAGAATACCAATGGGTACTCCATTCATAGCAGTTAGCCTGGTTTACTGATGATGGTGCTAGGTGGAGGCCACTAAAAGGGGAATTTTGTCTAGCTGCCTCTTCTTTGTAGCAGCCCAGTGTTCTTCTTTTGCTGCTGCTCAGTGTTTGCGAACTGACAGGATAATGGCGAGTCTGCCTTCCTAGCAGAGCTATGGTGCGTGCACCGGCAGAGTCGGCTGTCTACGCTGCGTGCACTGCAAAATTGGTGCAGCACTATTAATGGAAAGTTGCAGTTGTGGTGATCTCTTACTGACAGTGTAGCAGCAACTGATGTGACTGATGCTAGCCTGCTGGAGGTCCACATTTTTATACCATTACCACTGGGCAGCATGCAAACCAGTTAATGTTGGAGCTGCGGTTATGAGCGCTGATTGGGGAGTGCTTGTGTGGATGTACAGACAACCACGCCACAAGGTGTAGCCTATAAATATTGCCTGCTTTCAGTACACTATGGGAGTTGTCTGTTACACCCTGTGGGAGGTTCCCACACTGTGTATAGTAAAGTCCAAAAGATTTGACATCTGCTCTAGGGGTTGGAACACTGTCTTCAGTTTTTCAGCCTGGGAAATCTGACCCCACTCTTTTTCCAGGAAGAAAGATAAGCTGAATTGCCAGATCATTTTCAAACTGGATGATTTTACCACGCAGTAGAAAATTGTTATGTCCACTATATTTTTTGACCGTAGCAAGAAGAGCAAGCTCTTCACAGAAGAAAAG